GGCTGGTAATTCCTGTTTCATATTGCATTTAAGGTTTATAAAGAAACACCAAATTTGTATAAGAAAGCTAGATTCAAGGTTTAAAAAAGGATAAAATCATTTACACTAGAATTATAATTTTTTAACTTTACTTTGGGAACACTGATATCTTTATGAAATGCTATAATGTTTATATATAGAAGCTCTAATATCCTAATGAACTGCTATAATGTTATATACAGGAACACTGATATCCTAATGTACTGCTATAATGTTTATATATAGGACCACTGATATATTAATGAGCTATTATAATGCTCATGCATAGAAATACTGATATTCTAATGAACTTCTATAATATTTATGTATAGGAACACTGATATTCTAATGAACTGCTATAATGTTATATATAAGAACTCTTATACCCTTATGAATTGCTTTGATGTTTACAAGTAAAGAAAATACGTTTCAAAAAAGGAAACAAATGTACAATGGCTAATATCAATCTTTCAAAAGCAATGCAAACAAGATAGTAGGGATTACACTTGCATCATCCCTACATAATAGCACAGGCACAAAGTGTAGTAGAATGTTCACTGACAAAAAGAGGATAAGTTAAATTCAATTGTAGTTGAACAGTTATATATGTATATTGCTATGTGTTAATTCTTGCCCATGCCAGTATATAAGGATGATGAAAATTGCATCCCTACTATCTTGTTTGCATTGTTTTTAAGGATTGAAATGAGCCATCTCTACATATACTTCCTTTTTTGAAAAGTTTTTTCTTTACTTTTTTTTTAATGCAATGTTTCAATAGACATAGGAAGGTTGTATTTATAACCAAGTTCTAAATAAAATGAGGTTTTAACTGTAATATTTATTGTTTATCTATTATTAGCTGGTAGTTCATGTTTCACCCTATACTTAAGCTTTTTAAAGGAACACCAAATTTGTATAAGAAAGCTAGCTTCAAGGTTTAATGATAAAATCCTTTACACTAGAATTATAATTTTTCAACTTTACCACTAATTAATAATACTTATCAAAACTATGTCACCTCAGTGAATTTGGTTGACATCATTGTTTGGTTTTTGAGTTATCATGTAGTAAAAAAGAAGAAAGAAAAAAGAAGAAATTCAAACTATTTGCTATGATATTTACAAACATTCCTAGATCTTGTGACTCAGTCATTAGATAGATATTGTTATAAAAGGAAACACTGTATACTATTATATAGTTCAGCTGACCTATTGAGGAGATATTTAAAATTCCTTTTCGATTAACAATCCGAGCCATCCGTACATAAGCAGTGCTACAACCTTCCTTATATATACGAACAATAATATCCTGATGAACTGCTGTAATGTTATATACAGGAACACTGATATCTTAATGAACTGCTATAATGCTTATAAATATAGGAGCTCTAATATCCTAATGAACTGCTGTAATGTTATATATAGGAATACTGTAATATTCTAATTAACTGCTGTAATGTTTATATATAGGTACACTGATATCCTAATGAACAGTTACATTGTTTATATATATATATGGAACAATGTGACAGCCTAATGAACTGCTGTAATGTTCATATATAAGAACACTATGATAGCCTAATGAGCTACAACAATGTTTATATATAGGAACCTTGATATAATGTTTATATGTTTATGTGTGTGTGTGTATATATATATATATATAGAGAGAGAGAGAGAAAGAGAAAGAGAGAACACTAACATCTTGCTGAACTGTCATAATGTTTATATTACATTAAACAAGATTACTATTACCAGAATTATTACTGCAAAACTTACACTGTGTTTGTTTCTTGTTGATGAGCAAGAATTCTTGTAACGTCATAGCTCCCATGTGTTAATGATGTCTTCCGTTTTCTCTAATTTTAACAGAGGTCAAAGACAAATATAGGGAGCCATCTAAACAAACATCTAATTCAATCACTTACAGCTATATTTATTCACTTCTGACAAATACCTTTCTCATTATAAAATAGCATTGGTATTGTTTTATACCTTTTCTTTAAGAGTGAATTTACAATGAAGAAATCTTAACTGTAAAAAAAACTCACCATACAAGGATTTCAGAATCTTCACATTTTTTTAAAAATGCATTCCTAAAATCACTTATTCATTAATATAAGTTATCTGACATTTTACAAATACAAATATGTTAATTATAGCAGTTATAATGAAATTCATCTCAGAATACATTGAACACTAGAAATCTTAAGACTATATTCTAAAGATCCTAAAATGGTTATGAGAAATATTATACAGAAATAAAGTGCCTCTATTAATCAAGTAAATACACATATTACTTTTCACTGAATTGAGTAGCTATTTATACTGACAGTAATGTATAGGTCACTTTTCATGTACAAGGGTAAGTAAGTGTACATTACCATTACCAGTTGTCAATGAAAGAGTATAGTGCAAATGAAGAAATTCAAAGCTAAGAATAACAGAAGCCAACAAAAATAGATAAGTGTTTTCTATAATTTAAGTAATAATTTTACAGGAGAGTGATTTCATTTAATAGTGACTTGTATCACTTGTTAAGCACTCTCTCTTTTATACAGAAAATTCATTCATCATCAGTCATAGTTGACATTTTAAAATAATTTGAATAGTAAACTCAGTGTGATAATAAACATATTCCAAATTTCATTCCTAAGTGACCTAAGTTAGTATCTAAAAATCATTATAATACAAAAAAATCAAAGTGAGAACCAAGTAAAGTATATTAATCAGAACCCACCTTTGATAAATGTGACTTCACCTGTCCATCAAAATTATTTTCATATAATTACAATCAATAATAGTTACAGTCTTCATACAAAATACAGTTCACTTACCAAAAACTGACACTAAATCACAGTCAAGTTTGTGGTGAGTTTATTACTTCAAGTCAAATTAAGAATATAACACAAAAAAAGTGATGATTACTACCAGTGTTGAGCATGTTACTAGAAATAAGTAATGGAGTTATTTTGGCCATTAACTGCTAAAAATAGTAGTGTCATTACCCAAAACATTACTTACTTACTTATTTAAAAATGTAATAAGTAATGACTTGTTACTCATTATTTTTCAAATAGATACCTGTATTCTGTATATAAAACATTCACTGCATACATTGTGTATTATATTATATATATACGTATACAGAACTGAGCTACAAGCAATGAAGTGAAGAAAAAAAAATGCATTATACATTGAGAGGTTTTAGAATAGCAATTAAAGGAGCTACTTTTATTTTTCTTTATAATATTCAAAGTAAGAGCAACATATGACTTACACAGTACAAGAAAAGGGTATATAAATCACTTAAATAACTAATAAGTAGCCTATCAATAAGTAGCCCAAACATTAGAAGCTGTTGTTTTTTCTCCTGATGATCAACTTTAGAATTCTTGTCATTATCTTCATTTGCTTTCACTGTTTGTTTGTTTAGTGCCACATTCTGTTTCAGTGTAGACTGAATTTTCTTAGCAACAGAAAAATGTTTTATGGACACATTTTTTGTATTTTTTTTAAGCTACTTGTATATTTATTGTTTGCACTAAACATTCTCTTTAAAGACAAGCAGAGCAAGCATTTGTATGATAAATTGTTACCACTACTTCTTCCAGTAAGTATTTGTCAAGATATGGCCACAAATTACATGACGTATTGATCACACTGCTGCTACTTTCATATGGCACAGTGTTGCACATAACCTCCCACTCTGACAGCTTAAAGACAACTAACAGATAATATATATCAAAGAAATCCTTGATTAGTGTGACAGCACTCACTACAAGTTCACAACTCAACTAAAACATCCTTCAACAGCATAAAATATGTTTCAGCAGGAATACAAGTGCAATACTTCATTCCTCTGCTGTTGTTCCAGTATTACTGCTATTTAAAAAGTATATTATTTATTATATTTATGGTTAGTTTTATTAGTTTATAATCATTGTTATTGTTTTAACCAGATTGTTTTAACTACTAATTATTATTAGTTATTTTATATTCTTAAGTATATTAGTAGGCTATAATAAGTAATTGTTATTGTCCAACACTGGCAACAGTAATTACTATAATGCTGATCACTACATTCCATAAATATTAGGGTGATTTAAATATTTCAAATCTAGATTTTTCAGAAAGGCACCCCATTATTTTGTTTCTCTTAATAAAAAAGTATTTTGAGAGAAATTTCATTGTATTTAGATCACATTTAAAGGTTCCTACTATAGAAGATGTTTCTAGCTAAGGCAGGAGTTATGAATACTTGAGCCACAGGCTCAAGCTCTCAGTACAGTGCCAGCTTTTGTTGAGTGAGGATGTTTTTCTTTCACTCCAATGTCGAGGTAGGTTAAATTTCCTGCATTTCCAAGGTTACAGTTAAATTTTCTTCACACAACATGCTGGAAGTGTGCTATTGTGCAAGTTTAGGGGTTACTGTGATATTCTTATACAAAATTTTATGAAAAAAATGTTTGTTTATTGTTAGGCTTATCATTTGTTACATGGTCTATTTTTGTTCAGTCTTATCAAGCAATTGTAAATTATTATTTTTTTGTTGCAAAGCATAATGACACCAACTTTATAAATTCTAGTAGCATATTATTTTTTAAATTTTAATGTGTTATTTAAATATAATATTTTCTTCTTTCAGGAATAATGGCAGCTTCAGATGCAGGACCCACCACAAGAAAGCAAACACATATTTGACTAGTGGGCCAGCCTTCAGACACTCTCAGTTCAACCAAGTTACCATAAAAAAAGGATGTTTTGTTCCTATTTATGAACTATAAAAATGTTGTTCGAGAAGTATCACATTCCACTACTGGTGATATTATAGTAGTATAGGAAAAAGCTTGTATACCATCAAGACTTAAGAAGCATATAGTGAACAAAGTTGAAAGTATCTTTAAAGAATGGGCAAAACTAAAGAAGAATAAAGATAAACATTCAATTTTTCTGAAGAAAAAAGAGGAAAGAGTTGGAAGACTGATTTAGAAGACTTATCTGATATTGCTCATGCTTATGCATTAAGTATGATCAAAATGGCAGAAGATCAAAATTCTTGGTAGCTCAACGTGAAAAAGGTAGACAAGGTGAAATGATGGGTGTTGACCAAGTGCTAGCAAAGAAAGAGCATGCTATTGAATAAAGAAAATGTGTTTATGAGGAGACAGTTGAACAAGAAAAGTTGAATAAAAAATGGTGAAAAGAAAAGATTAGCATCTTATTTTCTTCAGAGTCCTCATTTGAGACTGAAATGGTAGCTAAAGAGGCACCATGTAACAGTGGTCAATCTGCATGGCCAATAAAGTGAAAAATATTATTAAATAACAAGTGTCTGCTTTTCTGGACATAACTAAGGTCAGTGACCAATGGGTAACATTTGTATTGACATCTACTATTCAAAGCATTGGTCATGATCCAGTATGAGTTATTCATCTGTTCAAAGAAAAAGAATGAAACATCAAAAGAAGCTAGCTGAGAATATGCAGAGAGTTTAGGCCACAAGTTCCTCTGAGAGTAGACTGGGATGAAAAGCCATTAGAGGATATAATTAGAAATGTGACTGTCTTCCTATATTGGTTTTGGGTGAAGGAGTAGGGAGTAGCTCAACTGCAGTTTCTAGGATTTTTGGAGGAACAAGTAAAGCTACAGCTTCAGAGGTTTACAATGCATCTGTGATTTGGGAAATTAGTGATAAAATTAAATGAAGATGTTTTGTTACAACAGCATCTAACACTGGCCAAAAAGGACCATGTGTTGTCCTTGAGCAGAAGATAAAGAAAGAACTGTTGTGGTCAACACCACATTTTAGAGATAATGATTGGGTCTGTTGTATCTACTTCTCTGCAAATCACAAAATGTCCTGATATCCCAATTTTTAAGCGATTTCACAGTAAATGGTCATGTCTTGATCACAAAAGCTATTATACAGTAATAAGTGATGAATTTGCTGACATTAAACATGAAATAATGTCATTTGCATTTGATCAGTTAGAAAAGTTTCAACCTCGAGAGAATTATCAAGAATTATTAGAGCTTATATTTATATTCCTTGGAGGAACACCTGTCAAGGAAATATCTTTCAAAGCTCCAGCAGGTCTTCATCATGCCAGATGGATAGTCAAAGCCATTTATTCATTCAAAGTATTGGTGTTCAGGAGTCAATTTAAATTGAACAGCAAAGAGTAGAAAGGATTGAAAGATATTTACATTTTTGTTGTTTGATTGCAAAAGCATAGTTTTTACAACTGCCTCAGTTTCTGCTCCTTGACAAGATCTTCAACTATTGAAAAACTCTAGAAGCTGTAAAGAAAGGAATGAGAAGATATCATCTCTTGCTAAAGAAATTTTTGGATCACTTGTAGTATTTATCAGAGGATGCCATTGCACTTTCATTCTTTGATGACGATATCCTTGTTGACACAAAGTTTAAAATGGTCGAGGCTTTGGAGAAGCAAGCAAATAAATGTCCAATGTTAGACTCTTCGGTGCTGATTACAGAGAAAAATTTGGAAGAATTTATTACATCTAACACATACAAATTCCTTGAAGTTACTGAGTTATCTACACTATTTCTTGAAAAAGATGTGTAAGAGTGGCCTAATGATAGCACATAAGCTCCTCATTCAGCATTATTATTTATGACCTACATACACTGAACAGTGCATTTAACAGAATTAAGCATAAGTGGAAGAGTATAATAACATTCTGACAAATGATGAGAAACAAAAACAATACCTTCTGCTGGTAATCAAGAAATTCCAAGAAAAATACCCTGATGGACATAAAGGATGTCAGAAAAACACATAGGTTCAATAAGTTTTGAAACAAAATGATAAAAACAGTAGTACTTAATCTATTAGCGTCAACTCTCACAATGGCCAGCATTGCACTGTTTATACTTTGTCAATGTGTAATACACACTTTAAAGAAGACAGCTACCCCTCTTCCTTCCCTTAAAATTTCCCACTCTCTATCTCACGATTACAATGATGTCCTCACACCAATATCTGCCAACACTCAACCTGAGCTAAGCAGGGAGTCACTCAACTACAGCAGAAAACAACTATTTCAGAAATTTAGAAAACTCACCGAGAAATGCACAAGACTTTATCAACATGCCAAGTCACTAGTGTATAACATAAAAACTGAAACATACCTCAATCTCTCGCATTAAAAGCACCAATCACAATAGGAGCACTGATCAGAATTTCTGTGACAAGTGACAATAAATCTTTGAAAACACCTCCTAAGAACTCATGAATATAACTAAAGTCTTCTGTCAAAATTTTGTGGATATTCTAGAGAGAGAAATTTCCTATTAATATCACCTGTACAATCCTTTGCTGGAAGAAAAAGAATAACTACAAAAATATTCGAAGAGAGCTGATACATTCCTTCTTAAAAAGAATAACAAAAATCAGTCTTTTACCAATAACACCATTTCAAATGGCACTTCTAACAGCATTCTTTCAAATCTTCTTCTTTATCATAAAGAAACTACCATAAAACCAAGCAATCTACCAGAAACTATCAAAATACCTTTACTTCACAATGAACAGCTTAAAATTTTTTTAAAAACACTTCATCCTCTAATACGCATAAGCCTTCTCAAACTAACAAATCTGTTGAAACTAACAGTGACCTCATAAATCATAAAATCCCCACATATCTCTAACATTATTAATACAACTCTCTCTGAAGCAGAACTCAGTCTCCTTAGTAAAAGTCTCAACTTCTGACCAAATAACAGCTATGTTAAAGAGCCCAAATTTCTTTCTGATACGCATGAATTTTCTAGAAAACTAAGACTTTGCAAATTTTTTCACAACAAACTCCACCGTATTGAAAATCAAAATACAATGAACTTCAAAAAAAGTCTTTATGGACACCTCCATCCAAACGGAGGACCACATTTAGAGTTATATTAAAGCAGTAGAAACTGACATAATACAAACCCTAAAATCTTCCAAGCAATGTCATAATAATATTAATCAAAATAAAGTAAGTGCTTTAAATAATCTTAAGTTGAACAACAATATCATAATAAAGCCAGCAGACAACGGTGGGGCTATTGTTATTTTTAACAATGATAACTATATTACAGAAGCTAACCAGAAACTAGAGGACACTAATTTCTACATGAAACTCTCACATGACCCTACAACTAAGTTTATTAAGACCGTAACTGATAAACTTAAAGAACTTTTCCAAAACAATAAAATTAACAAAGAAATCTTTCAGTATTTCATACCCAGATAAGTAGATTTTATCTCTCACCAAAAAACCAAACAATCCTGACTGACTCATAATTCCTAACATAAACATAGCTACTGAAAAGCTGTCTGCTTTTGTTTACCAACACATAAAATGTATTCCCTCTACCCTCCCTTCTTACATAAAGGATACTACTCACTTTCTTAATATCATAGAAGATATTAATCCTAACAGACAATTACCACCCAACAATTTTCTTTGCAGGATGGATGTTTCTTCCCTCTACACTAATATTCTACATGATGAAGGAATAGAAACTGTAAAATCTGCATTAAACCTTTCTAACTCATCAGAATCTCAAACAGTAATTGATCTTACCAGCTTTGTTTTAACACTGAACAGCTCCAAATTCAATAATTAACATTACCTTCATGTTAATGGTACTGCAATGGGTACCAAAATGGCTCCCAATTATGGCTACATTTTTAAAGGGTTACAGGGTTTTTATCATTTTCATTCAAGGCTGATGGACAGAAAGCGACCAATCTAAACACATTGTAAGATACATCTACTTACATTTTGCAGTTGAAAGTTGAATAATCCTGACTGCTTTTGTGCAGTTTGTTTATCATAATATCATGGTCATGTCAGTGTATGCATAAATGTAGTGTAACTAAGAGCCTAGGATTTACGTACAAGGAAAAGCAAGTTGAGGGAAAACATGTCTTGGTTATTACAGACTCTCACTACGAGGTCGGTCAAATTGACCAAACTCCTAACCATTTTGTATTCATTCATTTTACCCCATAGCATTAAATTTGAATACTGAAAGTCATGCAGAGATGATCTATGTATAACTGTATCATCCCTATATTCTTGTTTGCATTCTTCTTGGCACAGCCACTCCTATATCAGTTTACATTTACAAAATGTATTTTTATTACTGGTACAATGATTATTATAATACTACCATAAGCATCTCTCTCTTTCTCTCAAATCATGAAACTTTGCAGTTGAAATCTGTTTAAAAAAAATACTACATTTATGGCTAGTTAAAAATGTTGTTTAAGATTAGAAAGAATAAATATTTTTACAAAACTGCATATTAACTACATGTATAAAGTCATGTCTCTCATAAAATGACATCCGTTACCTTATCTTTTCTATTTCTTTGTTCACTTGAACAGTACATTTATTACTAGCAGGTAGAGATGAACTCCATATATTCCCATTATCAAGTACCTCCAAATACCCAAAATGAAAAAAAAGATTATTGTATCATACATAACTTACCAATATGTCCACCTTTACTATGTGGCGAAACTTTCCATTGGTACCATCATTCACTGGCAGACGTACAAAGTAAGATTTCTTATCCTTACTAACAATGATGGTATCATGAAGATCAACCCATCCAGTGCTACTAGTTTCTTCTATATTCTGAAATACAAATTATTTTCCTTCAAAATCTTTAAAATTCAAGAAAATGTTGAATCTCAAGTAGTGTCCTTTAACACTACCATTTATTTATGAAACATTTATAGTAAGAAGAATGATGTTTGCTGTTACCAAAAATGCAGTTTCATTTAGCAGACTGAATATTTTTTCAGAAGACTCACTGTTCTGCAGCTGTAGCAAGGTATATCAGTTGTAATTTAAATGTTTCTGCTATTCCCTTGTTTATTGATCCTCAGTGGTTGTGTATATGTATACATTCAAACCTTGTCTGATAGTAGGCTGATACATGTATTTATGTGATGGATTATATGACGACCTGAATTGTATTTTAAATTATGTGTTTGAATAATATCTGGAGCATCGCTATGATCAGTGATACACAAATACTACATATCACACTCTCTTCTAGTATATATTTCATATTCACAATCGTTACTTTCTGGAGCAGGGTTGGGTCATGGAAGCTATCTACTGTTTTGTAGGATAGGTATATCCCACTTTATTTTGTGGCTGTCACATGGAGCAGAGATGTTTCCATATACTATTATGATCCAATTTTTTGGTTGGTCAGCTACAGGGAGAAGGTGAATTGTGAATGTAATTTTGGTGTTTCAAACAGATTCATTTCTTAGCCTGTAATGAGCTAGAATTAACTCTGAAAGTAATGTCATTGTTTCATAGTTTCAATTTATTCACCTTCACTATCCAAGAAATATATTTTAATTTGTCTTTTGTCAAATACATCTTCACTTTATTCTGCATTTTTCATTTAAATACATTTTACACTTTTTATTTTATCTTAATTCAATAATGCAGTAGACTCCCATTCACAAGTTAGCCATTCTTTTATTTTTACCTTCTTCAGTCAATAATGTGTCTGTTTTTATTCAGCAAACTTGTTTTTTGGTGTACTAGATCTATAAATCTTAAGTTATTGCAAAGGTCAGGTAACTGTTTGCTACATTCATTCTTCAAATACCACACTTATGAAAACAATACCAGGAAATCCTACAGTATAGTAGGGAGTACTAGGAAATTACAAACTGATATTCATGTATTTCACATAATAGTACATTTTAGGTAAAAGTATTGCTTTAAGCAGCCATGAATGAGATGTAAAGAGTATACATGTTAACTTCTTAAAATATTCCTTATTACACCTACTGACTAAAATATATCAAATCTTTCTTTAGAAATGTAACAGATATAAACTAAGTATTTATCCTGCTGAGATGTAGTAAATAAGCTTCTTATTACATTTTCTTCTTACTGAATGTGAAACAAATACTATAACAGCAATCTCAGATTTGATCTAACTAGATGTTTCTTCAATGAAAAATCACTTGACATTTTGACAACTAAGTTTTTAATAGAATATAAATGTTTGAATTTAAGTATGTTATTATTTATTTTTATCATCATATACTCTTCTAATAAATATTCTGCAAAATATTTTGTCTTTAAAATACTGTATTACTAAAGTAGTTTCATACATAGTGTAAAACTGATCATACATGTACTATTAGAATGACTTATAATCTATATTTCATAAATTATTAGCAATAGCTTGATATTTATATTACATATTAATATATGCTTACTGACAAAGTGAAAGGAATTTGAAAATATGCTACAGACAAAGACAAAGTCAGAATACCTTATAACATGAAACTTTGAACTTTAAGTTTCACTTCACTTTTAGAACATAGGATTTAAAAAGATCAATGATTACAAAAACAAAAAATGGTTGTATAAAATTAAAGTCTGCTTTCAACAGGTAGCAATGTATAAGAGCATTAAGATATTTACAAAGGAGATGTTATTCTAGTAAAACCCACCCAACTTGTATGTGCATCATATCAAAAGTAAAGTTGATACTTAAATGAACTATTGAAAGAATGTTGTTTCTCAAGATGTGAGAAGAAAAACTTAAAAGTTAATAAATAATAAATTGACATGTCTAAATAGAAACTTTTATGGTTTTATTTTGTGCAACGTTTTGCGGCAGATGCCCTTAGTCATACAGTAAAAACATGTTACATGGTAATACAGTCTTTACTGCCTAATGAAGGGCTTCTACTCAAAACTCTGCTCAAAATAATATTATAAAAAGTTTTTATTTAGATGTGTCAATTTATTCTTTATTATTATTATTTTTTTATTAAAATTGATACTTAGCTTAATATTTCTGGTTAAAAAGCCATATATCATGTACTATCTGAACACAATGTGTAACAAAGAAAAGGAAACCCCATATAACCTTCTTATGTTCCATGAAAGAAATTGTACTGTTCAATTGCAATGATGATATTAGGTGGTCATTGACTCTCTGGCTATACTTTTAAAGAAAGAAAAACACTATCTTATTAAGTACATATTACTTTGGAAATAACACAGTTAAATACCTTTTCAAAGAAATAACATAATGAAAATAAAATATGCCATCCTGTAAAGAGAAGCAAAATGATCAGGAAACAGAAAAACAAACATTATTAATGTTCAGAAATTTCTATATGTTCAGTTAACCAGGTAACTGAAACATGTTTAATCCCTTAAGAATGACTGCGATATATATGAACATACCATGCATTTCTATGTTCTCATAATATTATAGTATTTATTCTGAACCTATTCTTTATTCTGTAAATGTACAGATTTGACATAACATGTGATTGAAAGGAATGATACTGCTATTATATTGCACGTTGTACATGGTTATTGACAGTCATGTCTTTCTATGGTCATTCACGTGATATCTAGAGGTTACAGCCTCCTCTATTGTTGTAATCAGAATGACCAATCATATGGGTAACGAAAGTGACATTTCTTGTTAACTAAAGAATGTTAAATTTAGTCAGTCTTGAATAATATCTTAAAGGAGAAGCAGCTGACAAAAATCCAGTAAAAATGACAGTCCCATTAAGTAGCAGCAAGAATACACACTATGTATTTACTGATGTATTATAGATTATTTATTTTCCATTTCACTTTGTGTCTAATCTCATTATTCCATTTCACATCACAACTCAGTTAACAAGAGATTTAGCATTATTTCGTTATCAATATCTTGACTGAATCTTCAGCTAACCCTATCACCATGGGTATCCTTTACTACGCATGAGGCAAAGTTTTAGTGTCTTAGATTCAAAATTTTATTAAACTACTTTTTGTTTGTGTAATACTAATTATAATAGCATAAATTATTAGCTAATAATCCATATTTTAATAGTATGCAAGTTTTAAGTTCTTAATTCTATAAGGCAATATTTTAAAAAACCCTGAATTTCCCCATAGTGTGACACACATGATGCATTTTCTCTAGGTATATTCTCTATTTTATCTACCACCCCTTCAAAAAGTATGAAATTAAACGTAAATTACTCCCTATAAAATTGGCATTGCACAGACAAACCATAATTTTTATAGCCTTCAATTTTGTTTGGTTACAGAGCTATCAGACCCCCTCCTGCCACACCCACCTCTCACATCCTCTCTTTCTGGACTTTCTCTCTCTTACATTTAATTATATATTATCTATAACCAATAGAAAGTCAAGGTTTTCATCTATCAAATGACATATTGTATAATGGTATGTTCTGAATAGATAAGCATCAATTTCACTCAGAGTACAAGCTTAATTGCTGTGAGAAAGTTGACAACTAGCCTGGATGAATTTGTAATGGCGCTTGTCGCATAGTTAGAAAGCCAGAAACATTTTAAGAATTAGGGTAAATTATCTACATTTGGCATGTTATTAGTTTATGTTCTTTGGTGCATTACTTAATTAAATAAAAATTATTTAGTGCATTACTACCATTAGTATAAAAAAGTTAACTGTCATTGATAATCAACAGGAAGAAAAAAGGAGATTGGTTAATTACTTTATTTCTTGTTTTTCCTGTTTATTCTTTATTTATTATTATACAAGTAATTAAAATGGAAAAATAGGGATCTTTTTAAGTTAGTTAAGATTAAATTAGATAAAATAAATAACTATTAATATAATAAAAATGCTGCACAAGCGAGCAGCTCCTAGTTGCTCATGGATAATGTAATTCAATAGCGTAACATGAGCTACACGTTCCAAGAATGATTTACAATTTATAATGGCACAAGTAGCATTTAGACACAGTTCAAAGTGCAATCAAAAGGGCAATAGAACAAAATTTAATTATAAGTAGATGTACACTGTTACAAACTTAAAGATACTTAGGACAAACAAATGTAAGTTTCATGTTACAATTTGAAGCTATTCGCAAAAGAAGAAAAGGGTAATTTAAATTTATTTAGATTTTTGTTTTGGTGGTTATAAGGTCAGTCAAATTGACTGATCCCATATAGAGATAGGGTAGAGAAAATAACTGATAAAATATAAAGTTTTACTGAAAAGAAAAAAACGTTTGAAATGTATTTAGGGGTTTTTAGGAAATTTGAGGTTTTTGAGATGAAGAAAAGTATTTTAATCTTAACATGAAAATTACTTTGCACAAAAACTATTCAAAACAAATGCTTAATATATTCATGGACAAATCTTTATTTTAGTTTATCAAAAATACTTCACTAAAAAACATGATTTTTTGTATGTGAAAGAATTATTAAGTTAACTGAAAGACTGCCAAATTTTGTGAAGATATGCACATTATATTGAAAGTTAGAAATATTAAATCTATAAAGACTTTAAACAAGTACAAAGAGGTCAAATGGACTGAGCCCTTTTGAGAGAGTTAAGTGGACATATCCAATTGCTTGAATGTTCAACTCAGTTTTATCCAAAAATACCATAAAGCAACATAAGCAGATGACACAGACATGTTTACCTGTCTGTTTTGTTTATGGTAACTTTGTTGAATAGTTCTTTTTCGTGGAAACCAATGAAAATTAAAGCTGATTTCCACCGAACGTGTCGCAGTATTTATAAGTTCAATAAACAGGTCCTTAGGTATTGGAGGGCACTGAACTTCACCACCATACAAAGTATCTATTCAACAAAGTTACCAGGCCTGCTGTTTACTTCTGCTATGTAGATGACACGTTTGCCATTTTTAAAACTGAACAGGAATGTGAGTGTTTCTTATAAGACCTAAACTCGTTGCACTCAGCTCTCAAATTTACTTTCAAAAAGGAACAACATAACTCTTTACCGTTCCTAGACATCTTAGTTGAAAAAGATGATTTTCATTTTCTCACCAGTATATACAGAAAACCTACCTTTACAGGACAGTACACACAATGGGATTTTTTCAGTCTTAAAAGTCACAAAATGAACCTTATTGCTACTTTAGTCCATCGTGCTCTAGTTATCTGTTCAAAATCTAAACTAGATTTCTAATTGAAGACAATACTATTTAACTAAAAAATGGGTATCCAGAAAACGTCATCAATCAAATGGTCTGTCAACCTTTCATCTCTATATTTTGGAAGCCACCTTTATTAAAACACATAAACCTGTCCTTTGCCGCCAAAAAGAATTCCTATACAATCTATACATCCTTCAGTAGGTCTGTGGCATTTCCTGATTGGCTTAAGGTCATGACAATCAGTGATTGGCTTACCGGCCTACGTTGAT